AAACCCTTAAACCACAACTAACAGGGCATATCATAATATGTTATACTAGTAAAGCATTTTCCTGGTTAACAAAAGAACAACATCCGTGCCGCGAGGCCGCAGGCGACGAGTGGTACGCAAGCGTCGAAGGCGACTGGTACCCGATCAGCTAACAATAACGAATACCTCAATCCGCTAATCAACCGCTACCTATTCAACGCGCTCGAACCCGATATCGTGCAACGTGCACGCGAAGGTTGGGGGGGCCAGGGGGGAAGTATAGTGAGTACTTCAACACTCAATGAGTAAATAGAAAGTAAATAAATATAACTGAGCAAACAAGAAAATCACGTTTAAAGCAACCAAATGGGCTGTACAGAAGCAGGGGACAAGATTTCCGAGAAAAACAGGTGTAAATCCAGGAAGAAACTTCTTTACGAATATGATTTCCTGGCTCCAGTTCAAATCTCTTTTGAAAAATGGTGGCCTTTCAATAATTACGCAAAGTTTGTTTCAAAATAGTTAGTGTTTGGATCAGACACAGAAAAGTCCGCCCCTTCGGGGGCACAAATATCAACAGCATAGCAAGTTAATTAAATGCAAATAAGTATGACAGAAGTGAACAAACATAAAGGTTCGCCGCCCTGCGGGCATGAATTGTTCGTTTAGCTCAGTGTAGTCATTGTTACACTGGACGGTCAGGGCCATTGTTAACCGTGAGCCAAGAAAATGCGTATTACAGCGGTGGCCATTTGTATTACCACTGGTCTAGTCAGGTTGTTTACCTGACTTGTCAGCTTGTTACTGACCTATGCCCAACACGTGTCTCCAGTTGGCCACTTGTTACCGGGCACTGGTCAGATGCAAGTTCTACTTGGTACACTGGAACCATTGGTAGTCATGTTACCTGAAGCTCAAAACAAGTTAGTTAAGACTAGTGCATCAGGTCGTTACGAGTTCAAAAGCCACTGTCCCAACCCTTCTAAAATGTTACCACGCGCTGTCACTGTGGCGCTGGTGCAGACTCCGAAGGGGCTCCTAACATGCACGAAGCGCTGTAGTCATCATAAGGCCTGAAAAGCCTGTAGCATATCAACATGAGGCCTTGAAAGCCTTTCTCACGACGAAGCTCGAGGCGGCTGAAGAGCTCTCTCACAATTACACTCCGATGCCGCCTGAGAAGCCTTCCTCACATCACTCAGGACATATCCTCACATATGGGCCCTAGCGGCCTCAATCAGTCCAAAAATTAATCAATAAGCCTCCCTCGGGCATCATAAAGAAACAAGTAATGGCTCACGGCTCAAACAATTAAGTTCAAATATCATGTAATAACTCGAGGGTTGAGTAACAAATATAGCTGGTCTTCATGAAACAGTGGGTAAGAGTAGGGAATAAATGACTGAGTTCAAAATAACTATTTTCAAATGTGAGGAAAAACAGTGATGATAGCGATACATGGCAGGGAGTTCAGAACAGTCGCATAGCCCCAAGGATATTTGGCAAATAAGCCCAGTCATAGTGAAATAACAACAAGTCATAGCGAAATACGCGCGTAAAAATCAACAACCGGATCGACAGGACCAGCACAATCCCAACGGGTGCTCTACCCCACGCTCTCTATCTGGCATGGCAAGTCACTCTCCAATTATGCAATTGCCAAACCGGTAGATAACCGCCTCAGGACTATCATATCATTGATCACCCCTACGTGAAACCCGATCCGTTCTCCGTCCCCGACCCAGCTATCCGCCAAATCGGCTCCACGCAGCGTTGAATTCTTAACCAAAATTAGAGCGAATACGTCACACTAAAGCCAAGGGAACCAATACCCAATACGAAAACAATCAAAATTATAGCAAAAATCTCGGAAAGACTAGCAAAGACCCGAGCCCCGTGGCCCGCTTCTCGATCACCGAAAAATTGACGAAACTTACATTACCGGATTCCTCGTTCTCGCCCGACGAGTCCGTACAATACTCTAAGAACTTCCCAAATTCCGAGCTCAAACACTATCAAATTCCGCACACTTGAATACAAAAACTAAAAGCCCTAGCTTTACCCCCTTTTATGATGGAATTATCAATCAATCTTAATTGTAAAATCTACTCATAAATCTCGTGTATAAGTTCAAATAATTTACCGTCCAATTCGTTTCTCCTTTGAATCCCATCTTAATTTCCTTCAAAAAGTCTTCAAAAGAACAACAATGGAGTAAGATGGAGCCTCAAAAACGCGAGATGAAATATTTTATTAAAACATATCTGCTGCCCAGGATACATGTACAGTTCTTCTTCGCGTTTCGCGACAGTAAGCTCGCGTTCGCGTAAGCCAATTACCAGGCCCCTTCGCGTCCCGCAGTTGAAGCTTGCCTCGCGTTCGCGTATTTGCCAAATGCCCCCAGGCCTCAACTTCCTTTCCTAGCGTCGCGCTTACCTCTCAACGCGTTCGGTAGCACCGTGACCACTCTTGCCGTTTGGGGACTTCCTTACGCGTCGCGAAGGCCAACATACAGCCTCCATCTTTTCTCTTCGCATTCGCGAGACTCCCCGTCGCTGTGTCGCAAAGAAGCGAAACGCAGGTGGCGTCAGCCAACAGCTAGTTTAGACAACATAATTTTTTCTCCCAAAAAATGGGAAAACCGTCGCGCCGCCCGTTGGGCACCCGAGAACAGCCCAGGGCCCCCGGGACCTCAACCAAAAGTGCTAAGCCCATCCTATAAGACACTCATGCAAGACTGCTCCATCACACAATAACACAACAACACGCTATAAATAACCATAAAATTACGTCGGATTCAAGCTAAGGTTCTTCTAAAACTCTCCAAAACACGCATTCGACAAAAACCCAACCAATAACGATCGTCCGAAATGGACTCGACACATTTTCACACACATCACAAATTCACATAACGAAACATTACAGCAACTTCTCAGAATATTTCCATTCCGCCTCGGTACCAAAATCTCACCCATCAGACCGGGAATTCGCGGCAAATAGCTAACTTCCGCCAAGTTGCAAGGCCTAGATTTCTAGCAAGGGACCTCAAAATCAATTCCGACCCTCGCACGTCGCTAAGATCACAAATCATTTCCCCCGAAAAGCTAAACCGAATCACCGGAAATCACATCCGAGCACTTTCTAAACTCATAAGTCATCGTCCGGGGTACTTGCAGCTTTTCCAACTTAAGCCTTCCTTAACAGAAGACTAAGTGTCTCATTTCCTTATCAAAACCAATTCCAAACTCAACTCTCACACCAACCCACATTACCGATAACGAAACGTGAAGAAGCAATAAACGGAGGAAAAACGGCAGCAGTAACACATGAGCGCGAGGGTCGGGGTTCGTCACAAGAATATTGTTCCTTCTCATCTAAGAGAGATTACAATGAGATTGAGTTCATGAACGTGTTAAGCTCTCAGATAGCGAGCAAAAGTGTTGGAGACGTCTGGACAGCTAAACTGTTGGGCCACAAATAACTAAGAATTGCCTGGTCTTTGAACTTCTGTTAGACCGTGACCTGTTGTGATACTTCTCTTGCTTGCGCTTCTCACCAATACTTCTCACTTCAGCACTCATATAACAAATAAGTAAACAGTCAAAATTGAAAATGGAAAAAAGAAAGAAGAAAAATTTAATTACCCGAATAGCCTCAATATTTGTCAAACTCCAGGGGATTTTGACAAAAGCTTGCTATAGGTTCTAAATTTGAAGATAACACATGTTGAAAAGATGGAATTCACTGTTATTTTCTCGACAGTTGTCTTCATGGGTGGAATGATCAACTTTAAACCTTGTGGTCTTTGATCTTCTAGTGGCTTCATATTATTTGGACAAAACCACGCGAAATTCTCTTGCATGAATGTCACAAACCCATTTCCTTAATTTGTGTTTGAACCTATGTGATAAAAGTCCTGTCCATAAATATTTGTGTGAATGCGGTCGCCCTCATAAAAAAATAGCCTATTAGTTAAAAAACGACTAATTATTTATAATGACTGTGACTTAATATACTTATGGATATGTTAACTTATGCCATCATATAGGTTAGGTTAACAACAATACCTTTTCATCCATCAAAATAATCTCAAGAGAAAAAAAGAGGGTATAGTCACGGTCCTGTCGGCGATTAGGATTTTCCCAAAGCCTGACAGACGCGAACCTTTAATTTCCAATTCATTGACTTGCCTGTTAATTGGGCTAAACAAAAATTTATTTCAGCCCGCCATTAAAACCTGGAAGGATAAACAGAGGTATTTTTATAAATATTAGTACAAAAAACTCCCACAAAATGTCTTCACTCACAACCAACATATATGAAGCAAGAGATCATGTGAATATATGAACCAAGAGATCTCAAGCAAAGATCTCCTTTGTTGATTAGGGCTTTTTGCAACTTAAATAATCATGAATACCACATAAAAAATAATAAACAATGAAAGGAATGAAAATGGTTAACCTGAAAAATTAGTAAGAAGTAAGCAGAACTTACAAAGAGCAAAGAAAGCCCAGTTGTTTAATGAGAAAACTTGAGCAAATCACAGTTGTAAAGATTCTCTTTTTACTACACCCAATTTCCCAATTGTCCCAATTTTCTGATCTTTCCATAGAAGTATATATAATTTGTAAAAGTAGAAAACTGAATTGAGGAAACTGTGAAATCAAGAATTCGTGGATGAGGAGTTGAAGTGGTGGTGAGAGATCGTGGGAGTATTGCCGAATTTGATGGATTGCTATTTCTAGGGCAAATAGTCGAATGAAGAACGGTGGGGGGGGGGGGGGGGGGAGGTGAACTCTGAAGCGCCCAATTTTCCTGAGGGTAACTTCTTTTCTCTTTCTTATATAAAATCGTTTTTAAAAACAGTACAAACTACCTATTTAATTATTTTTAACTGTTTTCAAATTCAAAATTTTGAAGTAGAAACGAATTTGACCTAATTTTAATAACTTTGTCCTAAAATAGCCACATGGCATTTTATATGCTTTAAGTAAATATAGATATAGATAGATTTCTTGGAATAACAGTTGAACACGCCTATTCTTTACCGCACAAGTAAAAGGGGAAAGTGAAAGGAAAAAAAGAATGCCCAAAAATCCTCTAATCCAAGAAAATTTTCTTTAATTTTTCAAACCCCTGAAATTTCTCTTCGCCGTCTCTTCCTCGTCAATCTATCACTCGATTTCAACAAGCTCAAGGTATGGTCTATAATTGCTTTGAATTGAGTGTTCAACTAATGTGGATAAATCCCTTGAATTTTCACGTGTGTTAAGATTTGTGGGTTCTTTTGGGTTCTTGGGTGGGTTCATAGTCAGGATAGTGACATGTTGATTTCTCAATTGTATCTTTGGGTTTTTTATTTAATTATTTCGCTATTGATTGATATGATTTGATCATTCACTGTTTGAATTCACAAGTGTATTGAAAACAAATATACCCGGAAAGAAATAAAAAAATCATACTGAAGCTCAACTTCACCAGTCCCTTAAAAGAGAATTCATCAAAGACAGATTCTACTTGAAGTTTCCACTTAGTTGACTGCACTTTCAGTTCACACCCGAATCCCAAAATACAAACTCCACAACCACCAATTCAGTAAGCCTCCACTTCTAATGCACCCTCAAGAAAAAAACATGCCTCTTATGCGCCTAGAAAAGGTGTAGCACACGCCCTGTACCATGTCAGCAACGTGTGTCTAATAGACACCGTTTGACCATAGATTAAGTGTTCAATAGTTTAGGCCCTAAGATAAGGTGTCTAAATAAATAAATAAAAATTGACAAATTTGAGGGGCCACCTATGTATTTGGCCAAGTGCAAATAGTGGATGGATGATTAAGACTACCTTTATCTTAGTTAAATAAGTTATTTTGCACGTTGTCTCTGCTGTGTTATTGTGGAGAAGTTAATTGTTTCATTTGCAGCATGATTTTGTTTTGTTTGCTGCATGCTTGGTATCTTTACTGTCTTCAAAATTCATGGACGATTTTGCATGATGTATATTGTTTAACTTTTGATGTTTGGATTTTAGCTTATTTTGGCATTCATGCTATATGGCTATTGGTGTTGACAGTTTTTGGCTTTCATTTTAAATTCCAGCTGATCTACTCTGGTTATTGGTCTTGCTGTAGGTTACTCAATTTCCAATTTACTGATTTGCGTTATCTTGTACCTAGCTTCCACAATGGTAAGTCAGAGCTTTTACCTGTGTTAAGTGTTGCCTGATATACATTATGCCTCTCCCTGTTACCATTGGATTTTCCTTATAAATTGCAATCTGTATCATTGTTCTGTTTGGCCAACAAAGTCTTATATATGTACCATTCTTCTGTATGTACTCGGAAATGCATTTCAATAGCTATCACTGTTTTTTTATTAGATTAGGATTTCTCATTTATATTCTTCACCTGTATGAACTTGAAAGCCTTATGCGTCTTTGTTGCATCTCCATATGTTTACACATGCAAAACGTGCTTGCAAGAGAGAGGAATGCAGAAATGGTAGATCTACACTAAAACCAGTAAAGGCATATCAGCATATGTTTAATTGAAATTCAGCCCGGAGAGAAAGGATTACTTGTTTGTCTAAGGTTTTCTCGTTTTTCTATTGAGGGTGTGTGGAAGAGGTGTTCTTAGAATTTAGAAATTCATAGCAGCATTTGGGATAAGTTGAGAGACATATGATACTCAAGCTAAAAATGTGCTTGATTACTAGGTTGTCAACATATTTGCAGTACTAGGATTTTTTTTTTGGGGGTTTCCATTTGATGTCTGGCACTCATATTGGGGCCAAACTTATCCGGATTCGCGGCGCAAGTGCTTCCTACTAGGATTTTTTTCATTCCCGAGATCTCTGGTTAAGGATGGAGGGATTTTGTCCATCCCACAACCAGTGGCGTTGCTACACTGGGACAAGGACGGTCAAGTGAACACCCTTCACCGAAAAATTATACCGTGTATTTAGGTGAAATACCACTTTATATGAATGTATATTATACTTGAACACCCTTTACATAGCTGAGAGAGGTATCCCGGTGGCCTAGGGTGTTCAAAGTGAAGTGGAGCCACAGGTTCGAATCCTCGTGTTAACATTTGAATCTGCCTATTTTGTTTTCCAAAAATACATGGTGACGACATTGGTCTATTTGACTCTCTTTTTAATATAAAAATATCTTAATAAATAATGCTTCAAACTTAAAATTTATGTAAAAAGATGTTAAAAGTAGTTTTTTTTAAAATAAAAGTTGTTTATTAAACAAATCTTATAATTTAAAAGTCAAGCTTTACAAAACTTACTTTAAAATAAAAAAGATCTCTATAGACTACAAACCTCTCGACTCTCTCTTTCCTTTGCTTTTATGCTTACTTTTATGAGTAGAATTTATTTTGTTGTCTTTTTATATTAGTTTTGATTTATAAAATTGTAGTTCTATTATAATTGTTTTTATGATTTAGCTAAATATTGCGTAGTTTGATTTAAAATTTTGGTGCACCCATTCATTGAAAAGAAATTATTGACTTCTTTAAAGTTTGAAACCTTTGGCAAGATTCCAAGCTACGCCACTACCAACTACAACCCTTGGTGGTGCAGTATGAGGAATTTCATGGTACCATGCATCACTTTGGTAAAAGGAATTGAGATGGGAATGGATTTAGTACTGCTTATCCCTTCTCCATTTCTTTGCATTATTCTCCTGTGAATGACTTTTAAGCTAATCATAGTAGTCAATAGTCACTCAGTCTTAGGTCTATTTTCCAGGTTCAAGTTCTACCAACAACAACAACAATAGCATACCCAGTATTCCCACACGTGGGGTATGGGGATGATAGTGTGTATGCAGACCTTACACCTACCTTGTGCAGGTTCAAGTTCTACCCCGGTACAGTTATTCATCGGGAGTTTATTATTTTCCCACTAAGAGAGACTCTCTCGTTATTTAGCAATGTGGAAGAAAATTGATAATATGGCCGTTTTCCCTCAAGCAAGAGAAAATGAAAACACAACAAAACAGAACAAATCAGAAGAATTACGCTTGAATATAAGTTATTGCTTCCAACAAAATTTCCCATCGTAAGTGGTTATTTTGGGTCATAAGTTTGAATAGTGTCACAGTTTTGAAAATGAGTTCCTATTCTTTTTCAGTATGCTCTGATGAACCTTGTGGTTACAGCATATTCAGATATATGTGAAAGCAAACAAGACTTATTTTGAATATTGCACTAAAATCATGTTCTTGTTACAGGCTGCAAAAATCCTTGCTAATTTGATTGTAATGGGTTCTGCAATATTGGCAAGGTCCTTTGTTCAAGCATATCGTCAGGCACTGGCTAGTAAGTATCTTTCATACCCTTTTTCCCGTCATCTTGCAATGAATTGACACAGACTAATCTGGAGAATCTGGCATAAACAAAGATTTCAGTGGGTACAGTTTTCTTGCTATATACAGAGAGGTCCATGCAAGTCCTGAGGAAAACAATGTGTCGAAAGTTAAACATACCAGTGAATCAGTAATTAGCACATCGCGAACCTTAATGTTTCATTCCAAGAAATTGTAAATCAATTTTAAGAGAAGGGGCAGTGCGACTTTCATGCCGCTTCTTCTCATTTCTCATCTAGATCTCTGACTCGTGCACTTGAATTCCACGTGGTATGATTATCTTACTTCCATGCAAATCATACTATCTTACACTTCCTTTCACCAATGACGGCAGATGCCTCTAAAAACGGGGTTGCTCAAGAAGCAGTGCAGAATATCAAAAGAGCTAGTAAAACAATGACCGAAACAGAAGCAAGGCAGATTCTCGGTGTCACTGAGAATTCATCATGGGAAGAAATCGTGCAGGTTTGTTTCGTGTAATGTTAGCCGAGGGTCTATCGGAAACGGCCTCTCTACCTTCACAAGGTAGGGGTAAGGTCTGCGTACACACTACCCTCCCCAGACATCACTTGTGGGATTACACTGGGTTTGTTGTTGTTGTTTTGTTTCGCATAATGTTCTTTCCTATTTGATGCTGCTATTTGCATGCGTGTGACCTCAACTTTGCTTGCTCTGTCTGCAGAGATACGAAAACTTGTTTGAGCGAAATGCTAAAAATGGGAGCTTTTACCTTCAGTCAAAGGTTCATAGAGCCAAAGAGTGTTTGGAAGCATTTCACCCACCTAAAGAACCAGGGGGAAAATAAACTTTGTTGAGCTTTTCCAATGTATAGCTTTTCTGCATAGTTGGTTTACTTATAGTCAGTTCCTAGGTTTTTGTTGTGAACAAACTGTGAATTCTTTCCGATGGAGGAAGCAATATTTCCTATTGTCACTTGTATTTCCTATTCAAGTTTCATGAGCTACACTATGGTGCTAGACAAACATTGTAAAATAGCTTTGGAATGTATTAGTAAAGGGCTTCTTCTTTAAAAAAAATAAGCGTTGTGTTTAGGTCAGTTTGCATGCACCTGGACTAATCCCGCGGGATACTTGCTATCTCCCACCAACACAGAAATAATCTAGTATTTTTTGCCTCTGCTAAACTCTGATAACAAAAGGTTGTTAACCACTTATCTTACTAACGTAAAAGTGAATGTAATTTCCTTCCTTTATTCATGTTATTTATATGAGGAGAGGACAGATATGGAAGGAGTAATTTTCCTCTTGTTAGAGCAAAGTATAAACTTCAATAAATATGTTGTGTATATTATTACTTACTAGATCGGATATTTGCTCTAGTTTTTTTCATATAATTTTATAAGTCGTTTGGTCTATGGTCTAGTTATGCAAGAATTATAATACGGCAAATGATATGTAGGAATTGTTATGCAGTGAGTAATAATGCATGGATTGTCATATGGTTAATAATAACACATTGAATATGATATAGGATTGCTTAATTTAAAGGTATTTTGATCTTTAGATACTTTTATACACGTCTTGTTACTATACATAATACATACTAATTTTTATAACATAAGTTGTAACCCTTGTTAGTAATACAGTGTTTGGATGGTGATAGAGATTATATTAGCTATACATAGTTTTATCTTGGAAACAAAATGTAGTATAAGTAAATTAGAATTTTATGCCAAGATTACTTTCATTTATTCATCAAAGCAAACAACCCCTTGTTATCTATATGTATAATATAAGTTGAAGCATCAACAGGTTGAATATCTCTTCTAAGTATGCCTTAATTTATTCTTGCATATAACATGTTAAGGACTAGTTGAATCATAACTCCAACAGTAAATTTCCCAAAGACAAAACAAAACCATTAAGCATCACTTGAGGAAAAAATAAACAACAACAACAACAACGAATCCAGTATAATCCTACAAGTGGGATATGGGAAGGATAGTGTGTACGCAGCCTGGAAGATAGAGAGGCTATTTCCGATAGACTTTGGGCTCAAGGAAAGATGAAAAAAACAGTAGCACAAGCATTAACAACAATAAAATAACAAGAAAACGAAGTGAAAAAGACAACACATAGTACTAGAAATCTAACAATAATATAGTACCAGACTAACACTAATATTAAGATTACTTATATGTAAGAAACACTCTCCACTACCTACTAAAAGAGAAAAGGCTGGAGTCAGAGGACAGCCTAATACGTATTCCTCGATTTTAAGGACATTTTTAAAGAGCAAAAAACTTTCGCGATATTTCTAATTGATTGTCTTGTATTTTCAATAAGTCGTTTAACAGTTGCCATGTTGAATCGTATACATAATAAATAAAATGGGTTGGTTCCCACTTTCTTCTCATACCAAACAAAAGAGAGAAAGCAACTTTCATTCACTTTCTCATTCATCTTTCCATTTTCTATTCCAAATTCAGACTATTTTGAAGTTATAGAGAGAAAAAGGAAAAAGAGAAAAGAGGTGTTAAGCCATCAAAATTTCCATATTTACTTTTTTGGACCCAAATGTTTTCATCAAAGAGCCAATAGTTGAATACTACATGTAGAAAGGTTAGGTACTTACAAGCCATCTCAAAAGCATTAAATTAAAGATAGAAAAAGAAAGAACAACCACTTGTTTAAACAAAGTAAAATTGGACACTTTTTAAAGTAACTAAAGTTATTTCAACAAATCCTTCTTTAATAATTACTTTCTTTACTTTTTTTTGGTTTCCCATCCGGTGTCCGGTACCCACATAGGGGCCCAACTAAATCCGGATTCGCGCCGGGAAGTCCCACATGAGGGGGAGGGGGGGGTGAGGGTAAAACGCTCCCTAACAAAGGCGACTCCATACCCAGGAGATCGAACTCGAGACCTCTGATTAAGGATGATGGAGTACTTACCACTCCACCACAACCCTTATTGATTCTTTACTTTCTTTACTTATTTAACCTTCAAAGTAGTTGTATAAAGTAAGACCACAAATTAAAACTTAATCGAGTTAGCAGATAAAGTTACTTTTTGAAAAGAAAAAAAATTGAAGTTCTTGTATCAACATTATTCTTAATTAAATTTTGCTATGCCACATTAGTCTTATATTTTCATTTTATAAATAAATTTACAATATTATTAATTAAAACAAAAAATTATACTTCCTCCGTTTCAAAAAGATTGATTTGACACAAACTTTAATAAAGAAATGAAGACTTTTGGGATATATGGTGTTAAACAAGCCATAATATTTGTGTGACTGTAACGCTTTTGAAACTTGTGGTCTGAAACATGTCATAACATTTACGTGGCTATAATGCTTCTTATAAAGGAAATATTAAAAGATGACAATCTTTTTAAACATACTAATAAGGAGATAGTATCAATCTTTTTGAAATAGATGAAGCAATTTTTTTGCTAATTAAGTATTTTATTTACCAAAAAAAAAGTATAATTGTTATTTCCTCCACTACGAATATTAGTCTTTTATTTTTTCACAAATTGTTACTGTTTTTAAAAATTGTAGATGGAAAGTATTAATTATTTATATTTTTAATTGAACAATCTTTATTCAACACGACATTCAACTTTTAAGTACAATCTTTGGATCTATAGCAGCCTTTTTTAAGGTCGGTGCAAGTCCCAATCAATCTCCATTGCTTAGGTCCAGTTGTTTCCAAAAAAGCCCTCAATGTTTGTCCTATTTGCATATTAACCTCTCGGTAATCACTATAGCTCGGTGCACAAGGTATTCTGGACTCATAAGTTTCGAAGAAAGGCCACACACCAAAGGGTACAGTCTACTCTAATGCAAATAATGGTGACTGCTTCCATGACTCGAATCCGTATTCAATAAGTCACACGAAGACAACTTTCGCGTTGCGCGAAAGCTCCTTTCGTGATGATGGACTCTAATTTTTCGTTTTGTCTTAGAACATGCAAAAATAATGTTACATACGAATATAAGATTTGAAGTTTATAAGTTCTCTGTATCGATTATAATTTATATTTAAATATATTTGAAAATTTCTTAATAATATAAAATTTTCAAAAATTATTGAATTTACATAAAATCAAAAATTATGGATCCGCCCTGTGATTTGTGTTTGTTTTGGTAGAATCTTTCACCGAACATATATTCCTTTGGAGGCAACAAGTATATTCTCCTTAAAGTTTGCAGGAACTTAATTTAGAAGTTCCTACTTTTTTCTTTATTTATTTATTTATTTATTTTGAAGCCTAAAATTTAGTTAGTTATTGAAATAAATTCACAAAATGAAAAATATAGCTCTAGAGTCTAGAATTTCCATTTTTTTTTTTTAAGAAAACCCATTTAGTTCAATAAAAATTGTACACAATTAACCAGTTAACTCAAGTTATTAGTATTTCTTTTAGCAATTATCTTTTTTAATTACATAGGGAAGAGAGAAAGAGAGAATATTAAAAATTGAGAATAAAAAACTCACCTATATGATAGAAACTCACAGTATCGTTAGATTATAACTTTGATGATAAATTATTTATTTTCGGAAAAAAATGATTGAGAGTTGGTTTATCTTAACATTCTTTAATTAAACCAAGCATTGTTTTAAAAATAATTATAAGTTAATAAGTTACTTAAACACATATATGCAAAATATCTGATATTTAAATTTATAGAAATCAAAATTAACATTTCATTTAATTATCGTCTGATAAATGAAAGGCAGAATAGCCTCATAAACACCTGTACTTGTTCGCGTTTGTCATCCCGGTCCTTGTACTCAACAAAATTTCATCCAGACACTTATAGTTATTCAAAATCAATATTCTAAACCCCTCTTCCGCATGTTTTCTTCAAACGCCCTGATGTGGATGCCACATCAGTATCCACTTCAGATTTTCTTTATTATTTAATTTATTTTTTAATATTAAAAATTTCTTTTTCATTCCACCTTCACGTTCCTCCACACTCACCATCTTTATTCTTTCACAATTCACCATACATTTATCACCACTTTTAAAATAGTCCACTGAGTAATATTACAATGTTATGATACAAACAATGAGAGAGAATTTATGTAACTCTTATTTTCCATCAGTAATCACTTTTTTCTGTTCCTTTTTCTTTTTCTTTTTCAACTTAACTCTTAAAAATCGTCGTACCAACGCCTGCAACTCCTCTCCGATCACCCTTCAACTAAAACGCTTTTTCACATCCAATACTTCACTNTGGGATCTGGGCCAAAAATGGGGGATTTAGAAAATAATTTTCTTCATAAATTATTACCAATTTGAAAAAAAATTTAATCTGGGGCGACGAAGAACATTTGTGGCGGTTGAGAGGTGGTGGAACGGCTGTATTGTAGTTGGGTTTGGGTTAAAATGGGGAGAGGTAAGAAGAAGGGAGGAGGAGAGAGAAGGAGGGAGGAGGGGGAGATGCAAAAACGTAAAGAGAAAGCACTTTTCTTTGCATTTAACTTTTTGTCCTTTTCCTTTTTTTTAAATCATTTTAATTATTTTTTGCTTTAAATAATTATAATTACGCTCCGTATATGCGTGAAATGCACGTATTTTGTCCAGCTCAGCTGTTAAGTTGCCACATAGACCCAGTCAACGGTCAGAGGGATTTAAAATATTGATTTTGAATAACGATAAATGTCTGAATGAAACTTTGTTGAGTACAAGGACCGAGATGACAAACGCGAACAAGTACAAGTGTTTATGAGGCTATTCTGCCTAAATGAAAAGTATAAAAGCAATACCCATTCGATGGTATTTAAATGAGGTCCTATCAGTCTTATGCATTTAAAAAGCATCAGCTTTCGCAAAATAAAAGTAAAAATTAAGATAGAACAAAGAGTTGGAAATCATTTTCGAAAAGATGCTCTTTTTTTTTAAACTTAAGGATTAAGAAATTTGACAGTCAAAAAAGCAGTTCAACCCAACGT